CTTCCAAAATGGTTTCTCTTAAGGTTTCTGCAGACATCACCCAAGAGAATTTTGTACCTCAGTTTCTGCTCTCAATGAATGTCCAGTCCTGTGAGATTTCACAGTGGGCTTTCTCCTACTTCACTCAGGAAAGGAGTATCAGGAAGGATCACCAGCCAAGCTGGGCACAGACACAGAGCCCAGGCTTCACTTTCCACTTCTCTTGGAAAAGGAAGCAATCACCCACAGCTTCAGCCAGAAAGGCTGATTGTGTACTGTCCTTCCTGAGAGCGTTCCCTGGTCGCTTGGTCCCAGAAGTTGCTCAGAGCCCAAGATCCCTTTTCAGCTTGCTCATACATAGTTCTCGGGGGCACTTTGAAAAGTATCCATTCTTTTAAATCCCAAGTTTCTTTATCTTATAATGAATAAATGACAACCAGGTGAAACCCAGGAAAATGAAATCGTAATGTGATCATAAAAATTAGGTTCATATTCTGATATTTGACCATAGTATATTTGTATAGGTGTGTGTGTGTGTGTGTGCAAGCATGTGCATGTGTGCATGTGCGAATGTGACAGAGGGAAGAAGAGAGAGGGAGAGACTAGGAGCAGGAGATGATTTTCTCCATATACAAAAACTGATAGTTATAATTGGTAATAATAAGTATTTCCAAGTAATTTCAAGTATAGCCTTGTTGTTATAGGCTAAGTCATTAGAGAGAGGGCAACTGTAGCCTTAAAGATAAAAATTCTCAATACCATCAAAGGCAACCTGGGACTGAAGATTTTCCCTCTTCTTGTGGTAGGAACTTGACCAGTACTTTCAAGAGGCATGCAATGGATTTTCCAAAGATAAAACCAAAACTTTCAGTATACACATTCTGCCCCTCCTTCCCAATTCAGCCAGAGGACTTTTATTCCCAATTCTCTGACTTTATGAAACTTGTTATTTTTGTATAACTCAAGTCCTGAACAGCAGCAGCAGCAACAACAACAAAATACTACTCACATTCAGCAGAGAAATCCTTCTGTTAATAATTTACAAGCTGCCTATGGAGTTTTATGGAGATTTCAAATGGAATGGTTGGTCATAAGCCAGGATTTCTTAACACATTTAAAAAAGAGGCTTGCAAAAGAGGAAAAGAAACTGTAGATGCTTCTTAAACTTTCCGATAGGCATTGTGAGAGAAGATTTCCATCCATCATCAGATCATTTTCAATTAATCTGAGTCAGGTCTGTAATTGGAGGAAATAATGACAGCAGGTTGATATCCTTGGAAATGTACCGCCTGATCTGGCACCATAAAACCGAATGTACCTCCTTAATAGAGGTTCACCTCACAAATTGAGTCTCTCTTATCAGATGCTACCATTGAAAAACAAAAGTATGTGGTCCTTATATTTTCCTTTATGTAATAGGATTCACACAGGATAAGTTGTGATGACTGTGTGAGAATAACTCTATTCAGAATGACTCCAGAAAGCATAGAGGAAAGAGCTGCCTTCCTTACACAGGACATGTTCAAGCATGTGCCCTCAAGACATCAGCTCCATGCACAGCCACATAGCCAAAGGCAGGCATCAGCAAAGAAAGCTGGAAGCTTTCTCACTCCTGTTCCACACCACACATTCACAAGCACACCAGCTGCAAAGCATTTCTCCCCTGGTAAATTTGATCTACCAGGTTCCAAAGGTGGAAGCTAGAGCCCTGACTCTGAGCATATTTCAAGATCCAGTGCCACCTGGGTGTTCCCAAGCAAAAGGTACATGCTGTGTTTGAATAGTAAGAAGCATGTTTTGTTACCAGGGAGCCAACCCTATCCTCATCCCAGCGTGTTCTGGAGAGGGTCATTCCAGACATCTCCCACTGCTTTGTTTGCCAGCCTCTCCCACATACAAAGACCCCATCCACCTACAGACTTCCATCTGTGATTAGGATCTGCCTTTTCCTTCAGTCCTTTGGATGGTGCCTCATGGCCACCTTTTCCTTCAGTCTCATCAGCCTTTATATTCTATTCTTTGTTCCCAAGTTTCAGGACCACTTAGAACTAAGTATTCTCAGAAATGATTTACTGGTCTCTTTGGGAAGGTATATTTCTGCAAGGATTATATCATTTTCAAAGCATGTGAAAGAGGAAAGTTTTTTGAAGAAGGTGATCTAAATTGCATGAGGTTTGCTTTGGCAAAGACACCAGATGGTTGCCTTTATGATGAAGTGGGTCTCTTCTAGCCTTTTCTTCTGTACAGGTCTCTAACAGGTGTTTCCTCTAAGGCATGTCTGTTTTCTGTAACATCAGAATGAAGAAAAATGTTGTCTGTGATGGCTTGTATACATAGATCATGCTTTTATTATGATAGAAAAATACACAGTGATTGATTTGCTATTCTGAGTCAAGTTAAAGTGTGCTTGGGAGATATCTTCCATTTGTATTTACTTACTGGACCAAGGACTCTTCATTCATCATGGGAGTGAGATAGGCGGAGAAAAAAGAAAAGTGGGGAAAAAAACAGAAAAAGCCACCAGAAGGAAGTAGTAGCCATCATTGCACACTTTAGAAGACAGCAATTTCCAAATTGTCCTCAAAGGATACAAGAAAGATAGTCACCATCAACTTGGATACATCAATTTGGATGCATTACATAGATAAATGTTTTTAAAAATCTGAAGGAGTGTCCAAAAACAACTCACAGAGAGATAAGAGGGTCTGTAAAGGATAACACAGCTAGTTCTTCAAATCCTGATAAAAGTCAAAGCTAGACTCAGAATTTAGGTATGTTTCCTGTTGAGAAACTTTACCAACCTTGGCATAAAACCATCACCACAGTCCTGTCTAGTACAGCTGAGGGAGCCCGTGTGGCTCTTAGAACTCAGTGTTGGGGCTCATGAATTTTGGACATGGAAACCACAAAAAGGACATGAACTAAAATGAACAAGGTAATCCATTTCGTTTAAGCTGAACTAGAGGCTTATGTTACAACATCTTCTGACTAGTTAAATGCCTAAAACTCGGGAAATCCACTAAATTTGTAGCTAGGTCTTAGTGCAGGTGGAGTCAAAGGATTTTGCTTAAGATCCTGGCCAATCTCCTTAGTAATTACTCTCTGCTTTTCCAAACCTTTCTCCACTGCCCCACCCTCCCTATTCAGGCTTCTCTGCTCCCGTTACCTACCTTTCCCAGTACTTTAGGTCTAAAACTTCAAATTCCAGTAAGTTCTTTTATCTAAAAAATTATGACTTAGGATAGAAACTAACCTAGTTGAGAAGAGTAAAAATTGCTTGTCATTAGGTTGGAGCCTGGGTCACTGAGGCAGATATTGAATAACAAGCAATTTTAATTCGCAGGGAAAATTCCTACCCCTCCAGAACAGACAGCAATAGATTGCGTGTCTCCTAGGAGGGATAGCAAAATCTCACAGGAGAGTGCATAGATTTCTAGGGTTAAATCTGTACTGTGACACAGTATGGTATGTCCCCTAAGTTACTTCAGGGGACAGTAACAAGAATTTTTAAATTAATCACTCAATCAAATAAGTATGGGATGGTATTGGAGGGGTCCAGTAGAGGGAACAGGTATGTTTGTATGATAGGATGGACTTATATGGTGCTACAAGCACGAAGGCTCCGTGGCTTAGCATGACTGAGACTTATTTCTGTGTATAACATGGGTCTACAAAGCAAGGGTGCACTACTCCACATAAGCACGATGTATCTAGGCTGATCATCTAGAGCTACAGCAGGTCAGGAGAGAGTCGAGAAGTCCCACAGGTGCTTTTTACTGCCTCAGTCATTGTGGCTCACATCTCAGTGGACAGGACTAATCCCATGGCTCCTGTGGCTCCTGTGGCTCCACCTAATCCTGTGGCTCCACCTAGGAGTCTAGGTCCTCAGGAAGGAAAGGAGAACTAGATATTGTGAACACTAGTAACTTCTATCTCAGCATTATGGTCAAGAAGATCCGTCTGTACAACTTGTCATCTCTTTTCTTGTATCTATCAAATAAGGGAGAAAGTCTTTAAACTCTGGCAGAGATGGAAATGCTCACCAGATATCCCAATTGCTTCCCATATTCCCCAGTTCCCTGAAAGTCAGCAGGAGCCGTGTAGCTGGTTTTTGACAAGAAATAATGGTATTATTTTGGACCAGGCCAATACAACCTTGGCTTGATTGTTTAGTTCCTTCCTCTTCCCTTGCCTGGTGACCCAGCAAGCTGCAGGTAGTCTAGCTTCTGTTGCCCAAGGCTCTGAGTGGCTGTGTGGAGTAGAGGTACTATTCACCTGAGTGAAGAGCACATGGGGTGAGAAACCACCTGTGTTGTGTTTAGTGGTTGTTTTTGCAGCCAAGGCCTAGATTCTATGGACTTTCTAGATTCTTTCTAGTCCTGAACTTTCTGTGTATCTAGAAACATTTTGTCTGGTCTCTAACAAGCTTCCCTTTGGATTTGAGTGGAGTTATAATGTATGGGGTCAGGGAGCCTTGGCCAAAATTGGGTGAGGATCAGAGCAAAGATTAGGAAAATGCAGACCCTTGATGAAAGCTGCAAAGACTGAAAAGTGCATTTAATAAATCTGGAGGTTTCAGTGGGGACCCATAAAAAATATGGAAAGAAGAGAGGAGAAAACCAGATTAAGGAAGAAGGTGCTGCCCATGATTTGACTTCTCACTGCCTTTTAAATTCTAGATTGTGGTGCCCAAAATACTACTCATGTTTCTGCCAAGCAATAGTAACATTATGATAGTAGCGAAATGAAGAGTAGAAATAAGAACCTTTGAAGCACATAAAAGTAAGGTAAAAAGAATCTTCCCCGAGTGCTCAGGATGTCTCCAGCTATGATATAGTCTGGGAATTCAGCTCCCTGCACCCTTCAGACTTGAGCCCTTATTCTGGAGTCTTAGGCTTGCAGTCATTCTCTCCTTACATTGCTCTCCACTTTGGGCTCAAGGCTCTATCATATTTTACGCCTTGGCTTTGCTACCCAGGAACCCCAAATATCCTCAGACTGACTCCATTCTCCCTATTTAGGACTTTTCTAGATGATATGGAGCAAGATCCTGACCAGCTTGACAGCAGTGGCATGTTTCACTGGTCCAAAACAACTCCTTTGGACAAGGTGATTTTGGTAGGTGACCTTGTATCATATTTAAATAAAATAAAGCATCTCTTGGGGGTGCAGGATGTCCTGCTGATAACGATAAGCACCTGTGATTTCCCTCTGTAAACCAAATTTGGAAGGAAAAAGATACCTCACCAGCCATATAAATGATGTGCAGTTTAATCTATGTGACATTTGACAAAGACTTTGTGGATGATATGCTGAGATTTAAAACACTTAGATATTTTCAGCTACTAACCCTGCCTTTAGACATTTAATTATTTACAATAATGTTCTCATGAAATAAGCTTTGCTATTAAATCTAACTAATATAAGTGCACTTGGGAAAGTTAGTATTTCTAAGCCCTTTGCAGTTGTTCTTTTATTTTAAAATAAAAAAGCATTTCAGCTGGGTGGGGTGGCATATGCTTGTAATTTGAACATTCTTAGAGGCTATCTCAAGCCTAGAGCCCAGCCTGGGTATTTTAGCAACTTTGCAAGAACCTGTCTTAAACAAAACAAAACAAAACAAAAATTTAAAAGGGACTGGGGATGTGGTTCAGTGCAAAAGCCCTGTGTTCAATCCTAGTGCCATAACAAACAAGTACACAAGCATTTCTCTAACTTATTAGTTTAAATTTTTTTATTTCTTATAATTTTTTAAAAGCTGACTATGTTTATATTTAATACACAAGCTCAAAATATATCTCTTAAACATCTCCCACCTCAACCCCAAACAACTTTGGGTGAAGCCTTGTAGATAGCGGAGGTTCTGTCCCTATCCCTCCTCTCTAGGAGCCAAACTAACTCAGCTCATGGAAATGTGAGCAATTGGAATATAAAAAAGACATATCCTAATATAGGCTCTAATATGTGTTTTCTGAATCCTCATCTATTGCCATTCTGCAGAGTTAAAACTCAAGTATAATTTCAGTGGTTTTCCTTACAAGGCATAGCTGCCAAAATTAGCTAATAAAGATATTGCTTGCATGCTGTATAGGCCCTATAGAATTTTCTCATTTATGGCTAATTGATAATTATAATTACTTTCTTGCTTTTCAAAAGTAGTTTAGTTCATTTCTTCTACTTGGCCTGCGCACGCGCACACACACAAACACACACACACACACATACACACACACACCCCACACACACAATCCTCATGGCACAGCACCAGTGTCCTGACAGAATATGTTCCAATTTTTGTAAAAGTATTATCAATCATTTGATCAGAAGCATAAAATTGTCAGAGCTGTCATATCTGCTGGAAGACTATTAGGGTTGCTGAAACTTACCATTTTAGCAATTATGTCTTATTCTAAACTACACAAAATTAACATCGGTTGAACAGGAAGCCAAAAATGTTTTCAATTGGAGGAAAATCTTTAGAAAGGCTCAGAAGTTGGGTGCAGATTGAGGCATCCAAGAGACCATAAATAAATAAATAATTAACAGACATTTTATTAGACCGTATTTATTAATCACACAGACAAGTTGCCATTATAGCTACTTCCCTTACGATACTCAGTGTGGAATATAGTTCAGAACAGCAACTGAATCTTTTGTTACACTTCCAAGGCCTACTTTAGAAATGCTGAGTTTTGAAATTTGTGCTCTAAGAGATAACTATCCAAACTGCAAAATTCAAGAGGCTTAGAACCTGGTTCCACTTGCAGAAGGCTCCAGTGGAAGTATTCAGTTGAAGTTCCCAGGAACAAATAGCACATTCTCTTCTTTCTCCCCAAAGCCACCATCTTTCTTAATTGGGAGACAGTTTTGTGCCACAGTTTGTTGGAGAAATTGCCTCTCTAGCTTCCCTATAAATGTATTCTGGCATGTATCTTGCTTCTAATCATTTAGTTCTGCTCAGAAGAGCAATTGTTGGACTTCAGGCATGTTACATTAAATACCGTTAGTCTTCATTATTCAACTTAAAACTAATCGGGTTAACTAGAGACAATTATTTAATAGATTTGGTTAAGATTCATATCACTCTCCAAGAAAGCTCTCCAGACAAGTAGAGAGCTTTATTTCCTCTCTCAAGGAGAGACCCTTGGAAACATAGCACTTCCCAGTATCTTCTAATGTGATCAACTCTAATTGCTGATATAGGGGATTTTACTCATTTATCCTGTTAGATTTTGTCAACACCTGCTTTATAGAGCTTGCTATTTATCTTAGCCAAGGATTGGCCTAAATGAAAATGATATATCCATTTGAAAGGTTCTGAGTCTTTACATGCCTGAGAGTATAGAACGTATACATAGTGAAATTTAAATATATTTAACTTGTTCTCTACCATTTTTCAAGTGTCCCAACAAGATTCAAATTTGTTTACTGAACAATTGTTAATGTCGAGCACCATGGTTTCAATATGTTAATTTCCACACCAAAATCTATTGTAATTTTTAACCACTTTAAACATAAAGAAATTGAGGATCAGAGAGATTAAAATGATTTGTTCCTTCTCATTGGTAAGGACAGAACTAGAATACAAGGTTAAGGGCCAGGGATTTAGCTCAGTGGTGCCATTGCCTACCTTGCAAGTGCAAGGTCCAGAGTTTGATCCCAAGTATAGAAAAAAATACAAAGTTAAGTCTTTTGGCTCCATGTTCACCACTCTATTACATCCAAGCTCCCTAAGAGGAAATGTTTCCCAGGCCCTGAAAGAAGCCACAAATACCAGTTTTTCAGTTACATTTATTATGTTTATCAATCTCTCTGAATGTGGGAGAGTCCAAATCTAAGTATATATCTCATGTATTATTTTGTATTCAATTTAGAATTCTACTCATGCTGTTAAAAATCAGCAATGCTACTAGTAGTATGAGACATATTCAAATGCTTGGGATCAAACAGAATTTTTATAGCCTTCCCATATCTTTTATGTATTTTCATGGCAAATTTCCTTGATTCAGGTTATCCAATCAGTTCAGTGTGTTAGGTTGAACTATGTGAAATTACCAATATTTAACTATTCTTGAAACGCAAAAAGTTTTTCCTGATTCAAACAATTGTATGAAAAACCACTCAATATTGCAACATGTTGCAGAACTTAATATAATTTTCAGAGTTCTCTAGAAGACATAGTTTAGAAATAGAATTTAGAATGTCACAGTTTTTATTTAATCATGCTATAGCACATATAAGGCTAAAAACATATAATGAAAATGAGAAAAAAATGTCCCCATATGCTGCAATGATTTTATACCCTGAGTAATGAAGCTGATCTGAATCTTAGTTGATTCATCCCAGGCAAATAGAAATTTTTTCAAAGAAGTAAAAGAAGAAGGCATTCCACAAAATAAAGAAAATGTTATAATTGTACTACTGGTTCATAAGTTCCATAATAATAAGCAATTTGAAAAATTCTGTTAACCTCATGAAAGTACTACTACTGGAAATATGAAGGTGAGAGGAAGGAATTACCTTTGGGGGGCTGTCTTTCATTTCCTCTATAAAAGTCCCCCCACTCTGCCCCTTGCTTATCCTCAGAAACGAACTGACAAGTCAAAGCATGAGTTTCAAAACCACGTTGTAGCATGCGTATTTGGAGATGCCCACTCAGCCCTGATAGGGCTTCGAAACTTTGTCATGCCACTGAGATCCAGTAACTACACTCGGAAGGAGCTGAAGGACATTGTGTTCATTGGGTCTCTGGATTACCTGCAGAGAGAGTGGCAATTTCTCTGGAATTTTCCCCGCATATATATAATGCCTGTAAGTACCACATAAGGAATAGTGAATATTTATAATGATAATATTATGAGTAGTACTAATGTTGATAATTATGGCAATAACTTGCAATTGTACACTGCATACTAGGTGTCAGGAACTGTGATAAACATTTTGCCTATATCAGTTCATTTCTCCCTCAAAATAATGCTAGAGGATAGACATTGAAGGTTAAGAACTTTAAGCAAAGAAAGACTAAATAACTTTCCCAAGATTGCATAGCAAGTAAGAGGCAAAAGTAAGATTTAAGCCTAAATATTGTGGCTTTTGAGTTTATGCTCAAACTGCTTTATTATTTTATCTTTATCCAAATCTACTTTTTAGTTTCTCTTTTCCTGAGACTGATTCTAACTTAATGGCTCAACCTAAGGTAATACCAACTACTCTTTGTGGTCTTTTTCCTCTTTTCTGGAGACTTCTTATAGAGAATGCATAGTGCCACAGGGTCCTTTTTAAGTGTATAAGTAGAGGGAATTGGGTTCACAACTTTGAGAAAAGTGTCTTCTGTGGTTTTCAAACCGCATGTGTCTTCCAAAAGTTATGTTGGAGCCTGATTGCCATCATAAATCAGTAGCATGGTCATTTGGTCATGAGAGCCTCACCTCCTTGGGATCTATGCCATTACCATGAAGTTGAGGGAGTTATGGTAGGAGTGGGTTCCTGGTAAGAGATGAAGTCTATCCCCGTCCTCTCACTTGTGCACCCCCTGGCCATGTGATTCCCTCTGCTGTGTTATGAGGCAGCCAGAAGGCCCTCAGCAGACGCAGTCATTCCCAGCCTCCAGAACTATGAGAAATAAATTTTTCTTTATAATTTACCCAGTCCGTGGTAGCTTGGTGTGGCTGCAGAAAAATGGACAAAGACAGGATCCATTATGAGTATGTGGCATTGTAGTTACAATTATATTTGCATCTAATGATCATAATTTTTTTCTCAATCTGTGTTGCCATTTCCCAGGATGAAAAGCCCATTATGTGCACTGTGAAATGCACCAGAACATTTGAAGTTTTATGAAATAATGCTGGCAATATGGAAGGAATATTTTTCCAACTTGATTCTCAAAAATGATTCTCAAAAAGCAAATTCCATTTACTTTTTTAAAAAAAAAAAAAAAACCGCTATAAAGCTCCAATTTCCATCTTCCTTGCTTCAGTCCATACAGAGGAAGAAAGAAAATGACCCAAAGTCTCCAAAGCCAGCTAATGTTAAAAATTACCAATATTAGATCCAAGATTCCAGAAGGTGGGGACAGATTTACCCCTGTTTCTGCACCAAAGGAAAGAAGTAACTTACACATTGCAAATTTATCTGGAGAGTACAAACAGGGTGTTCTACCAGCAAGATGGCGGGGGAGTGAAATTCTCCTTTAGAGCCATTACTGCTCCTTTCTCTGATTTTTACCTTGCCATTGTCACTCTTACTGTATTTCTCTTCTCCACTGGAGTCAATGAAATAGATTTATGTAGTCCTATACCACTCCACTCTCCTTTGTCTCATTCAAACACACTCTCTGGAAAGAGTCTGTGAAATGTATGATGTATAGTAAAAAGTGAATATTGAAATTTTTAAAATTTATTAAAGGACACATTGTCATTAATCCCCTTCAAAATACACCCGCTCACTTTAAACACACTTATCCCATTGTTCTTGCCACTTTCTGAAGCAGTTTTGCAGATCCTTTTTTGTGAGCATCTTCCAAGATACGATCAAAAAATATAGTAAATTCTGCTGCTTAGTGCCATCTAACAGAGAGGCAGTCTTGTAAAAACATTACATTGTGTCCTCATCCACCTTACTCACCAGATCTGGCACTGTACAACTTCTGGCTCTTACTCAAAATCAAAATGACCATGAAAAGTAAACAACTTGAATCATTTCAGAATATTGAGGCAGCCAGGACAGCACAACTAAGGACAACCACAGAAGAAGACTTCCAGAACTCTTCAGAAAGTGGCAAGGACTATAGGACAAGTGTTTCCCAAGCAGGGGAGAGTATTTTGAGGGGTATTAATGACAGTGTGTGTTTTTCTGTAATAAATTTTTAAATTGTAAACATTCACCATGTATTTTGATCACTCTTTGTATTCACAATAAGCTACTAATAAATGATAAGACAAATGTGTCAGATATCTGGTAACTAAGTTTTAAAATCAAGCTGGAACCTGGAGAGACTTTAGCTTGAAAATCACATCACTCACCATGAGCCCTAACATCCCATCCCACCACCTGACAAGTCCTTTCTCCACCCTGTTTTGTCTCATTAGGGATCAGCACTCTATTCTGGGGATCTGCGTGCGGTCAACATAGAGGACTGCTCCATGTGTGCTATCCTAGCCCCTTCACCCAAGGCAGTAAGCAGCCAGATCCTGGTCGACACAGAGAGCATCATGGCCACCCTTAACATCCGGTCCCTGAGGATCAGCTCCACCCCCTACAGACCTTCAGTGCCAGGTCTGAACAGCACCCCTCTTGGGAAGAGGCTGGGGTAGATGGGATGAGGACAGAGAATAACCTCCCTTCTGAAGTACTTTCACCATAAGAAGGAAGGGAGGTTGGCCAGATGACCCTACAATGCCTTCCAGCTCTGGCTATCCTGTGATAGGAGCAGCCTGCAGTTATTTCCTCTGTATTCTAACCCGAAGGGAAAACTGATATCCATCTTCTAAATGAAATATATATAATACTGTTTTCCTATTTTAAGGGGGAAAAAAATCACAAAACTGTAAATGCTATTTTTTTAGTTATTAATATTAAAGAACATAGCACTTGGTATATTACTATAATTAAATTATTATCATTAATTGGTTTTCATTGGTTTTTAAAGATATTCAAGTTACAAGTTCTACTTTCATGGTTGACAGAATAAACTGTATTGTTTGACCCTTTGGGATGTTTTCAATATACAAATTTTAGGAGCTTATCACTAAGATTCTTTCAAACTTCTGTAGTCTAAAAATGGTTTATTTCAGCTTCAAATTGCAAAGAGCAAGTGAGAAATGAGTTGGGTGGATCTCTTCAGATGAAGATCCTGTCTCTTTTCTCCTTTGGATTCCTCTCAGTACCTGGCAGTATTATGGTCACTTAATAGATGCTTAACAAGCACCTGTAGAAGGACATGAGCCAGTGAGCTGGACTCCAGAGGAGCTACTGCCTATTTCTCTGCATCCATGAAGTGCCTGCGGGTAATCCCCATGACAGAAGTGTTTATCTTTCTCTTCATCAAATAGGCAGAGGATTGTAAAACTACCAGCCACTCAACTGAATAGGAAAGTCATATGTTTTGTATCTAAAACAGATTTTCAATTCAAGACATAGAAGTAAGCCATGATTGGAACCCAGCTGGTCCAGTCATTTCCACTGGTAATGATTAGCCCACTGTATCTAGGTCAAGGGGCTGGGTCCTCAAGCCATGGAGCTGGTGACCAGAGTTGGCCCACCTTGCAAAGCACTCAGAGAGGTTGGATGTTAAAGGCATTACAAGGCTCTATGTGATTATGGCTGTAGACAAAAATGATCACAAGTCAATTCTCTCTCTGGCTCCCAGGCACTGTTCCCATGCAGATAAACACAAGGTTCTTGGGTATAAAAGAGTCATCTAATCTTTGGTAGGTGAACTAAACCAACTCCTTGGCATACCCTCACTATACAACCAAATCCAACCCAGCATCCAGGACTTCAGCATATTTTGAAGAGTGGAACTAATAGCAAAGCACCTCAGGAATACCAAAGTGCCATGAAAAGCTGAGCTAAGGAGGTAGGAGCCCTACCTGAGCAAATCTGAACATCTATAGAAGTGCTGGTGTGTTCTGCTGCCTGAATCCTTAGCTGAGTAATTAAGGTCACTGAAATTCACAAATGATTTGTGTGTATGTGTGTGTGTGTGTGTGTGCGCGCACACATTCTTGTAACACTGAGATTGGATAGAGAGAATGCAGAAATACGTGCATACAATATAGTCCTGGGGAAACTGACAACACCAAAAGCCTTCTAATTAATGGCACAGAATATAATCCTTCTGATTATTATTTTGTAATCTCTCACCTTCTATATAGGCTAGAAACATACAAACTTATGATTCTAAGTCTAGTTCCCTTATATTTAGGGATTTTTATCCTTTTGTTTATTCAGCAAAAATATGTTTATTTGGTAGGATGTATCAGGCATTTGGTGATAGACTCAAAGGCTGCGTGTAAGATGGCAGCTGACTGATATGGTAGAAAGAGATAGAGGAAAGAGGGGAAAGGGTTGGAAAGGAGAAAGAGAACAGGAAGAAATACCAAATTGGTTGAATCACCATGGAGCATGAGTAGATCGTTTCCCCAAATATAAAAAGAGAAGCATAGGGAAGAAGAATATGTTTGGTGGGCCTTTGTGCCATTCCTGTATGGATGTGATTATACTCATCTGTACACTGGAGAAATATTGGTCCAGACAGTCTTGAAGGACCCACCTAACAGAGGTCATCAAGTCTGCTCCCTGGCCATAAGCCACCAGCGAAGTCGCATTTTGAGAACATCAGGAAGAGCCTTGTGAATATTCACTCCTAAGTTTCAATGATTACTCTGGCATCATAGGAGTCAGTCTGGAGTTTGTTTTTAGAAATCCCAATCTTTGGAGAAGCCTGTTGGATCCTCTCAATCAATCTTTGCATTTCACATCAATACACTTCTTGCACCATTACTGAAGAAGTAGAAAGTTTTACCTCTGAAAACTGAAAGTATAAAGGATTGCAGAATTCTCCAGGGAGAGAGAAAGCACCTTCTACACTGAGCACCAAGGTGTATCTGGATCAGTAATTCTCAGCATGAGGTAGTTTTGCACTCTGAGGTCAGAGCATCTGGATACACTTTGGTCTTTTCCAGCTCGGGGACATGCTATGAGCTTCTGCCTAGGGAAGTCAGAAAGGCTGCTAAACATCTTCCCCTGCTCGAGACAGCCCTACAGATAAAGAAAGGCCAATAGTACCAAGATTGAGAAATCTGGTGCCCACATTCCTGGTGAGCTTTTTGTGGCATCAGTGGGCTTTTCTACATCTTCACATCATACTAAACTCGCACACAAAGCCAAGCTAGGACGACCAAGACTGTTCATACAGATTCATCAAGGGAGATTCGGGTTGGGGGATAGCAGAATGAGGATACTTCAAAGGAGCTATAAGGACACCAGGCCTCTGCTGGACATCTCTGGGCCAACCTTAAGGTTTCTCAGTAATGTTCTAATTACTGCCCTGTCACGTCACAAGGATAACAGGTTGGCAAACCTAGGTACTGAACTAAATAATCTGTGGCATAATCTAAACATATAACAGTAATTAAGTCTGACAACTTAATATGCTACTGAAATTTAAATGTACAGTAGTAATCTACAATTAAGCAATCTTTTGTAATAACACCCTGCCAGCCTGGAAGATTTCAGGTATAATGCTGTGTACTCTTAGGTAGCAAAAATATTGACTTTAGTATAATGTACACAGGCAACGATCTGACACTTATTCAAATTACTCACTGCTCTATAAGGAAAAAGGGCTGAGCCGAAAATTCAGTCGCTGCCCTTTAGTCAGCTTAGGGAACAGATGTTCATGTAGCCACTCAGCCCTGGTGGGTGCTTGTATCCAAAATTAGATCACTGGGTCTGAAAGTTGGGGTATTTCAAGTTCTTTCTTGCCTGGGAAATGGAATCAGAAAGGAGGACTAAAAGGATTTCTCCATTGAGAGGTTTCTCCTTTGAGGGAAATTGATCTCAGTATTTTACTGTAAATTCCAGCCTCAATTGGCGCATATTTTTAACACATGGGCAAAATATGTACCCAGAAAGGACACCAGCTTTGCAGTGAACCCTACCCATCACTGCCAAGCATGTAATCTTGACTCTGAGCTGCCCTTCCTTCATTTTCCAGGGTCATCTGACTAAGTTCCATTCCAAGTTGATGTGACAGTCATGTAGTTCCTATCTGCTGACAATGTCTACTGCTTACAGCCCCCAGAGGGCTCGTTTACAACTATTTATCACATAATCTCTGTTCCCTACTGGAAACTGTAATGTGGAACAATGGCAATTACAGGAAACTCACATAGGCTCTTGCAGGCTGGTAAGAAGCTAGAATTGTCTCCTAAATGATCCTGTACATGGTTGCCTCTTTCCTGCTTAAAGTCCTTTGCCTGTCCCCTCTGCCAGAAGGACTCTCTCATCCCTCATGACTCAATTTTCCGATCAAAGATTCCTCCCTTTGAGCTCCATGTAGAGCCACATCCCCACCACAGTTACTAGCCCTTAAAGGTTTTTTTCTCATCAGTATCTGAAAATATTTTGTATTTGCAACACATGATATATAGCTTGGGCAATCTCAGTTTCTCCAAGTCTTCCTGAATTATGGGAATCTTGGATTTTTAAAAAAATATATAGTTTAAGGTATTGAGATCCCATCAAGAGTCAGGTTTATCTCTAGCCACTGCTACAAACTTTTCTTTCTCTGAAATAGCAGTGCATACAGGTGGCATTCTGCACCTCCATTTTGTCACCTAAAACTAAAGGGCTTTGGGGGTTCCTGAGGCCACTGCTGGTTCTAGTTGTCAGCCACACATGTTGGGCTCTTCATGTGGAGCTTCATGTGTTTTTATCTTCCAACCATGGCTCCGAATTTTACTCAATGTCAGAAATATATTCAGCTCTACTAAATTAACAAGAAGTGGCTCTTTCACTGAATACTGCTTGGGGAGATGGAGGCAGTGTTAAATGGTATAATACCTGGCATTCCTTCTGGAACAAAAATCTTCCTTTTGATTTCCTGTTTCCTCTGTCAGCACTTCCCTTGTCCTCCCTCCGCCCACTCCTCTGGTGGCCTCAGGACATTGCTCATCTCCTACATTTCCCCTCCCAAGCTGCTCTCCTTTCCCCTGCTCAGCAAACAAAGGATCTTTCAGTTTTTCACCCTTTTCCAAAGGGTCAGGAACCTCAATCAGATTAGACATGTTACTTTCACAGTATTTTTCTGTTATATAGCATCCTCAGAAAAGTTCAAGAAAAGTGACCTAGAGTTTTAAAGTACCACTTAAGAGATAATAGCATTTGTGTTTTTAAGGCACCTTAGTTTCCTACTTCTCTCTTTCTCTTTCTTCACGTTTTTAGTTTTGCAGGCTCCAGATCTGATGTCAAGTTTTTTAAAACCCTCATGACAACACTGTGTTTGAGGCCAGGACCTCATAGCTACTCCCAGGGACTCAGGGGCCTCATCTCTGGAGGAAGGAGGGAAATGATCTTTACACAAAATGCAGAGGTCCAGGGCCCTATGTGTCTACTCAGTTAGGGCAGAACAGAGCACCAGGGCTTTCTAAGTGGGCCGGCTTGCTGGAGCAGGAGAGGGCAGCCAGATCAAGGGACAGAGCAAAGACATTGCAGATGACTGTCCTCAGGGTGTCTGGAAGGGATGGGCACCACCAGGAGCCTGCTGCACTCCTCAGAGGTGCTCTTGGAGCAGAAACACCAAGATATTGACCATTTCCTAAAATTTCTGTGAGCAACTTAATATGGTTGGAGGTGCTGCCTGGCTAAGCCATTACCAGTACCACCACTCCATGGAGAATAATTGTATATCTTAGTTATAATGTCAAAAGCAACTGCTGGAGGAACTTTGCCTGTTTTGTGATTCACCTGAACAGTTGTTTAGAAAATTCACTCCAGAAACACACATGCATACACACACATACATACACACATACTCTTTCAAAAGGAGATGCTAAGGAGACTCAAACACAGTTGGTTTTCTAAGTCCAAGTTCTGTACCTGGGGATTCAATTCAATCACAGATAGAAGATATTAAGAAAGAAATCATATCTGCACTGAACATGTACAGACCTATTTTGTCATTATCCTCTAAATGATATAGTATAACAATTACAGTGTAACATAGCATTTACATCATATTAGGTATTACAGGTAATCTAAAGATAAGTTAAAGTGTATGGGAGAATGTACATAGGTTATATGCAAATACTGCACTATTTTATAAGAAAGGATTTGACCCAGGCATGGGGATGCACGCCTGTAATCCCAGCCCTCTGGAGGCTGAGAAAGGAAGATTACTGAGAGTTTGAGGCCAGTCTGGGCTGTATGGTGAGTCCAAAGCCAGCCTGAAATACATAGTGAGACCCTGTCTCAAAAATAAATAAATAAACAAGCAAACAAAAAAAGAAAGAAATTTTAAAAAAAAGGATATGGGCATCCAAAGATTTTGGTGTACATGGGGGTTCCCAGAACCAATTCTCTGCTGTTACCAAGGGACCACTGTAATACGTGTTTTTCTGATTACAGAAAAATGTTTGAGATTTGGACCTGAGAGTAACTTTGCTAAGATAAAGCACCAAGTCATGCGGTGTTTGTTCTTATATTGTGATAAGTTTTGCAAGGCAGTTTGTTTGCAGTTATCATCTCTTTTCTTCTTTATCATTGTCTGTGTCTGTAACAGGAATGCTACCTGACGCTAACAAATATAATGGGAAATCAAAATACCGGCAAGTCCCCATCCTCACTGAACTGAGTAAGTTGTGTTTCAAGGGAGAATCTTTATGATGCATAATTGATGTCCCAAGATTCTTTTTAGAATCCATAGTAAAGGATTAAGGAACCAGAATGCGGCCCAAAGAGCTTTAAGTGCTTGGCTGGATGTCAAACTGGGCTTTTACCTGACTGGTGACATCATCCAGTGGAGTCGCTCTATCTGGTGTCAGGGGCAGGAATACTATCTGGCTTCCCCACTCTCCTGAGTACCAGAAGAGGGAGGGAGACAGCAGCCTGCTCAGTCTGACTCCCAGGGAGGGCATGGGTTTGAAGCCTCCTAGAAAGGCTCTCCCTGTACTGATTTATCTACTATCATGGGACTCGGGTCACATATTTTCCTTTCCACTAGCCACATCAGGGCAGGACTAGGGAAAGACTGGGGAAACATGCAGTGTATAGACTTAGAGAAGGGACCCACTCTTGGGGTGCTTAAATGTCATGTCCAAAGTGTCACCCTTGCATCATCTTACCCCCAGCCCTGAAAGAGACACTTATAAAGCGGAAATTCCCCTCAGAGAAATAACAAAATAAACTGTTACCTCTCTTCAACACTTTTTGAAAATGAGCATGAGTGCAGTTTCCCAGATATACGGCATACTGGGAGCAGAAAGCAGGTATTGGGCGGTAAAGAGAGGGAAGGGAGCCCGTGCACATTTTGGGAGTGTTGGTGGGACACTAGGGGAGATGCTGGGATTCACTCCTGAGAAGAACTGAGGAAAAAGTGGAAAATACAAAAGAAACTCTTGCCTTTGATATAGATTGAACCAACTCAAAGTTGATCTCTTTAAAACTGGGCCTGTGATTTGATCTAACTCTCTAATATAAGATATTTAATAGGCATTTCCTGATTTAGAATCTCTAAGCCCAGTGGGACATACACCAAACTACATGAACAGATCTTTTAGTCCTAGAAATAAGCAGGGGGAGCTGGAAAGGAATCAGCCCGCCACTCTCTAGGGGAGCTGGGGATGACAGTGCAACAGTGAGAAACTTCTAGTCACCCAGATCCTGGGCCAGGAATTTTCTAAATCAACTCTGAAGCCAGGTGTAGTGGCTCACATCTGCAGTCCCAACACACTATGATACTGAGACAGAAGGATCACAAGTTTGGCAACTTAAAGATTTAGACTCTGTCTCAAAAACATAATAAAGGTCTGGAGGTAAAGTTCAGTGCCCTGGGTTCAAACCCCAGTACTAGAAAAAAAATAGGCTCTGAGCATCTCAGATCCTTGGATATTGACCAGTACCTCCTAGCCTTTTTGTTACCTCCTTGAAGCTATCAACAGCAAATTTTATTTATATTTCTTTTCCCTCATTTCGGTCCATCTCTAACTCCCAAGGTAGTAGTACATTAAATTTGTGATTAGAGGAGGACTATAAATTAGAGTGCTTAGGAGAAGATGGCCCAGCTTCCCTTGGCCCAGATGTGCATCTGGTCACTCTCCAGGTACTCACAGGCTTTGTTCAGCTAAAGGCCTTTTGGCACTAGGCAGCCCTGTCCAATTAACCTAACAAGTCACCTACAGCTCACTCTGTTTCCGACTGCAAAGGGTCATACTGACACCGAGCTGCAGATCTGACTGCTAGCACTTTGATACAGAATGTACAGGGCCTGCAAGAAATGACTAGGACAGCTGAGGCTGCTGATTCAGGATGACACAGCGAGATCTGAATAAAGCCCATGGTGTGTGTGTGGGGGGGGGGGGTTGAGGGATGACCACGCCAGGAGAGCAAAGGAGGAGTGCATAGAAGACGTGGGTTGGTATTAGTCAGACCCTGCTCATTTCTATAAAAATATTACTATTCTTAGAAGACAGTGATTCACTAATACCCCCAGTATGTCACTTCCCCTAATTTGCTGAGAAATAATTTAAGGGATTAAAGAATAATCCAATCTTTACCAAGATTGTATTCTGAGTTGTATGACCTGTGGGTTTGGTTGGATCTGTAATAACCAGAGCCATGCTATTAAGAACCATGAAGGATCTAAGCTCATTCCACCTGCAGATAACAAGTAACCTGCCACAGTGTCATGGGTATTAGCACAAAAACACAAGACCTCTGAGTCAGAGACAGAAAAGCACAAAATATGAAAGTTTGTGACAGCGATAATAGCACACAAAATATCATCATTTCTGTGCTGAAGGGCCAATCTCTGCTTCCCACAGAGTGACATGAAAAGGTTCAAATTACACCACAGCCAAAGTGGGTTGCTGACCAGAAGAGGAACCTGAATTTAGGAAACCAGAATCTTTTATACTAGGCAGTAATCACAGTAAGCATGCCCTCCCTTTGCTTTGGAGGGAGACAGCATCTCTGTCTTCCAGTGTTGCTTTCTATACAGACATTTTTCAAGCAATAGTCCAGGAACAAAGGCAAGCAGTGCCTCTGATCTCCTCCCCAATAATGGTCAGTTGTGTTCACTGCAGAGTCTGCCTGCAGGGCTCTAAATTGAATCCTGGGACCAGTATAGATGTGCTAATGGTTCCTTTGGCTTCTGCTGTACTGGCTTCAATTAGCATGAATCTCTAATCCCTTGCTACTCAAAGCATGGTCCCTGAGTCAGCAGTTTCAGCAGCATCCTGCACTGCACTGGCTGCTTCCCTCACTGTAAACTCGCAGGCCCCACCCCACACCTACTGAGTCAGAATTAATGCATACAGTAAATTTGGAGAGACACTACTTTACCTCACTCTGGGCCCACCTGACTCTAGGAACCTATGTAAATACCAAGTCGTCTGTGGCATAGTAATGAAAAAGGACTCTAACCAAGGTGACTATATGTTCCTTCTTTATGGCTAGAGTTACATGTCATCTTTAGGGGAGCAATATACTTGGGAAGGGAAAAAAAGAAAAAGAACATACTCAAGTAAGGGTAGATCCCACAGTCTCCAAGGTAGGCCCCAATCCCTTGATCAGTGGTCACCCTGGTCCTGCCTCTCATGGCAACTCCTGTCTTCTTGTCTGCCTGCCTTTCTTTTTTCCTCTTTTGTCTTGCAGAGAATCCTTCCAATGTACACTTTATTGAGCAGCTTGGTGGACTGGAAAGGAGTCTGACTGGACTGAACCTGCATCTCAGCACTTCCTTTTCGACAGGTGCTGTCTTTTCTGGTAACTTCCTGGATTCCCTCCTGGCCACAGTAAGTGTAGCTAAATCAAGGAGCCCCCAAAACCAACCCCCTAAGGAGAGATGAATGGGAAAGTTAGGCTGAGTAGATAAAAGCTCACAATTCCAACTTTCTTGATTTTCAAAAAAACCTTGTTCACATACATGATTTCATTTTTTCTTACAATCACTTGAGAAGAGAAGCAAAACACTCACATTATCAGTACTATATACATGAATCTCTTGGAGCTGGAACACCAGAGGGCAGGAGGATTGGATGGTGCTGGCTTTACAGCTTCAGATCCTGCTTTCTCTTCTCTCTAGAATCTCCCAACAGCTCATGCACAAAGCAGCCCTAAAGTGACTCAGGTTTCAAGAAAAGAGCTTTGACCTTTGGTGGCTTTGCTCAGAGATAAGTCAAGCCCTCGTCCATATTGCCCTGCTCTTGGGATGTGTTTTAAGTGCACGGTGGTTGTTCAGGCCTCTGCACTTCTTTGGCTGCCAAGTGGATCTCTTGCGTCCATTACAGGATTCCTCCCAGTGGAATCCACACCCCATCCAGTGCCCATTGGCGGCACTACAGAGCCCTGTGAGGGACACAGCAGTGGTGAGGCCGACAGAAGCCTCCACTCCCATAGAGCTTTGAGCTCTTGGAGGAGCCTGACATACACCAGATCAATAAGTAACATAGAAAGAATGTCAGCTACAAGGGCTAAGAAGAGGCAAAGGGTACCGGGAAATGTAGGCTTTGGGGAAGGAGTGGCAGGTGTCAGTATGTGGCCAGGGAAGGTAGCACTTTGGGAAGGCAGCACCTTCGCCAAGCTCTGGAGGAGGAGAGGGTGCAGCCTTTTAGGTCCTTGGGGAAAGAATTAATGCTCCAGGCAGATCTGTGAGGTGGGAGCACACCACAGGTGTTGGAGGAATTGGAACTTGAAACCCACAGAATCTGTGCATAGCCATTTGTGACTACAAGGACTCCAAAAAGGGAATCTATGAAGTCTACCACCTCATAGATCCCTCCTACTAGGGTTTTGCAAGGAAAGGGTTACAAAAAGGCTGAATGTCAATATGTGGATGATCACATGCACAGGATTCTGGTCCCAGCTTGATAAATGTGCAGTGTCATGGAGTTCTACATAGAAGAGGCATCATTCCTGAATTGTGTAGGGGGCTTAAAGGCTCAATTTCCACATTTAGGGGAGTATGGCTGCGTATGCACCCCTCTCATGGCAATGATGCCATTTATATGGAGGGGATTACGTGGCTCTGCCTCTCTGAGCCACAGTGGGGGGTTCATAAACCCCCATGAGCTCTGTAACAGATGACACTGCCATAGTGATAGAATACATATTGAACAAGTTAAGAGGCTACAGGTTCCTAAAGAGTTAAGCAGCATTCAACCTTGCCTGAGCCAGAGGGGGCTGGATTGAAGGGAGTCAAGAGTGGTTGCTCTTCTGAGAAGGTGGCTCTGTCAGACACAGTATCCTATCACTGTCCGTCACTGACACATCAGTTAAATTGCCTTGAATTAATGACTGGAGTGCCAGGCAGAAGGTGACTTTTGATGAACTTGACCTGTCTGCAGGAGACATTTTAGATGGGTTTAAGCTCCCAGTTCTCTTCAGAGAGTCTTCAGTGGCAGGCAGCTTCATGCCTTAAATTAAACTTGAGATTTAATTAAACTCCACTGCTCCACAGGTCCACACAGGCAGGAACAAAGTCAAAGATTCTAGAGTCCATCAGAAATTCGATGTCATAGCCCATTTTGTATTGCTATAACAAAATACCCAAGACTAGATCATTTATAGAGCATAGAAGTTAATTTGGCTCGTAGTTCTGGAAGCTGCAAGTCAGAGGGCAGTGCCAACTTCTCTGCCTGGCATCTGGTGGGTGCCTTCCTGTGTCATCCCAGAGTGGAAGGTGTGAAGGCAAAAAAGCATGTGCATGACACACAGGGGGCAGGAGACCAGACTCATCCTTTTTATCAAGTGGCCACTGCTGTGATAACTAACCTAGGCCCAAGGTAACAGCACTCATCTCTCATGCAGGCTGCGCCCTTAGAACCTATCTCCTCTTTAATTCCCATATCTCAACACTGCTGCAGTGGGGATTATGTTTCCAAGAAAAGCTGTTTGGAGAACACATTGAAGCCACAGCAGGAAGGATAGATGGAGAAGAGTTGAAGAAATAGAGCTAAAGACAAATGAACACACCATATGAGACAGTATCGGAAACACAAACTTGGTGATTAGGAGCCTTGGATCAAGTGTTGGCACCCAGGCCCAGTGATGCTGCCCATCACTCATCATATGAGTGTCTCCTTGGCTGTGGGCAATCTGAGGAGTGCCACTTCCTCCAAAGACACCTTCTCATATTGTGTGACTAGGTTTTACTCAGGGCAAGAGGGCGATGTTTTCCTGAGAAACAAAACAAGTGACATAACATCTCAAGAAGTTTATTCTAAGGCCCCACGGTGAAATAGAAGGGGGAGACAAAGTCAAAAAAGTGTGTCCAGTATGCCCTATTGTCCCCCTGTCACATGAGGGCACAAGCCACATTAGGCCAACAGATAGTCCTTAAAAACCCCTAGTAGGGCCAGGGATTTAGCTCAGTGGTTTCGCTGCCTGCTGCACAAGCACAAGGACCCAAGTTTGATCCCCAGTACCAAAAAAAAAAAAAAAAAAAAAACCCTGGTAAATGCTTAAGTTAGGACTGGCCTTGTTCAGCTGGATATAGAAGATCACTGAAGCCTCAAGGACAGAAGCAGCCCTTAACTTAAAAAGGCTGGATTGGATCTTAAGCTTCTACATATCTACATTACAGCCTTCCATACTAGCTATAATCTCTAGTGGTGTGTGGCACAGTAAAATGAGTACACTGTAACAATGCTGAAAGGATGAGCTGAACCAGGACATTGACAGTCACCATGGGTGCTACCTATTCTTTCCTTTCCCAGGGCCTGGTGGGACTTCCAGGGTGGGGTGTCCTACTGTGCAGATAGAAAGAGACAATGCAAGGATCAAGCTGGAGTTGATCCTGAGCCTCAGATTGCACTGTCTCCTCTTCTCTGGGCTCCATTTGATTCTGGCTGCCCCCTGATTGTACTGCCTGGTCACACGGAAACAACTGCAGAGAGAAAGAGAACATTTAACCATCTTCTACTTGACACATTTGGAGTCACTGGGGTCGGTGGTACCAGAATATGCTGTCAAACACTCCCATTTCTTGCCATACTTATTGGAGCATCTCTTAACCGAGGTTGGGCGGAAGGCAAAGACCTCATTCTTCCCTTTTATGGTTTATGTATAGATGTCCCCTATAAGATTCATGTGCTCATAGGAGGGGAGTTTGGAAGGTGACTGGATTATAGGGTTTATAGCTGACTTGCTGTTAGGAGGTGGGGTCTGGTAGGAAGAGGCGGGTCACTGGGGGAGTGGCCTCAAAGGGTTTATCTCCCTATCCAGCTCCTCCCTTCACATTCTCTGCTTTCTGGTGGCATGCCATGAACAGCTTCTTCTCTGCCATGATGTCTTACTTTGGAGCCAGTTGACCATGGACTGTAAGCAAAAGCCAAAGTAAACCTCTCCACCTTTAAATTGTGGGTGTCAAGTATTATGTCCCAGCAATGAGAAATTAACTAAGACATCCCTCTAAGTTAGAATGGCAACCAGGGGTCCCCTAGGGACTTTTTGTGATAACAAACATCACCAATGACCATGGCTTTCCACCACATTATGCCCTTGAGTCTTCCCTAAACAGACCTCTGAGTTCTGTGGCTGAGATGATATCAATGACAATAACAGTACCTATCATAAGAAGAGTAAGACCATCTCTCAAACACTTATCTTGTGCCAAAGACTTTCCTGGGCACATTGCCTACAGTACCTTAGTAATTCTCCTGTCTACCCAATTGACCCTGAGGCTTAAAGGGGTAAGTAATCTGCCAAAGACCACACCACTGACCGATAACAAGTTAGTTCTCAGACCCAAATTTGTGTGACTATAGAGACAGATCTCACTACCATAATCCACTGCCACTCCGGAAATCAAGTTCTGGGGTTGTTAGGATCTTTGTGCAGTGACTTGCAGGTTTTGCTTACAGGGATTCATCTCTCTGAGTGTTCAGGTGTTGCTCAGGAGACAGGCAGAAAGGAGACAAGGAATTTCCCCCATGTGCTGCTCCTTCCATTAGAGCAACACCACTTTGATCTGTGTGACATCTGAGACAAAGATTTCATTGGAAGAAAGATTTCTGTTGTTAAGATTTTGGAAACCACTCTCTAGGAGTTGGAACATACTCCCATCAGAGATGTGTGAAAACTTCTCCTCAGTTCCAAGACTGGTTTCCAAATTCCTTTCGTAAGTCCTGTGAGGGAAGCAGGAGTCAACATGCTGCTCATTCTGTGTGGTTCTTTTATCCTGTAACTTCCCTCCCCAGAGAGGATCTTCTGGATTCCACTCTATCAGCCTGCTGCTCAGCTTACACAACAAGAGATCTATTCCCATTGTTGCCCAGTCAGTGGTTAGAATTAGGCCCCAAATTTTTGTTTCCCCTGATGCCCACACTATCAAAAGAGCAAGGCTAAAAACAGATATTTTAGACTCTCTCAAGACAAGGGGACTCACACTTCTACAGTTTCTGCAGCAAGATGTGAACACTAGTCTTGACTTCAGTCATGGTGAAATATTTTTTCTCACATAATATTCAAGGGCTCGCTTTCCTCCCATGTGTACTGAGAAGACCTCACAGTGCTTTCCATCCTTTCCCTCCCAATTTTCCCTGATAAACTCCAAGGAGAACAAATGTGCAAGCCCCGAGGAGACCGGAAAGCCTATAATAGCATGCTGTGCACTCGTAACCATTTAGAAGTACTGAGTTCTTTTTCTGTATGTTCAAGCAATTTAAAAAATTCTATCCTCTGATAGATGTATGATATTTTTCCAAAATAATTTAATGGGTTTTTTCCTCCACATCTCCAACTGATACATTTGAAATTAGAATAGCTTCAAATAGCCCTTAGGATACTAGCTAATCTCCTGCCCCAGCTAGAGAAATATGCCTATGGAATATAATTCAGATTTACTTTTAATCCTCCATCAGTTTAATGCTACAAAAATTAAAATATGGCAAGATAGTCAGATCCATATGCAGGACTTCTGTACGGCTTTACAACAGAAGAGTATCAGAAATACACATGGACTTAAGGGGCATTTCTGGTACTTGTAAGGAAACTGAGGCCCACAAAAGTTACATGATATTCTTAAGGTCTTTCAGCTGCCAAGTTACAGTTTTCCAGCCATATAGCCTCACTCTGAACTGGAAGTATCTCTCAGAGGATGTTTGATCTCACAACCTTTTGAGATTCTCAGAATAAAAAGCAGCAAGTGACAAAGATGTCACTGCCCATATTACTAGCCAATATTCCAGATTATGAGACATACCTTATGCTCCATCATAGCTAAATGAGAAAACATTATGGATGTAACATTTTGAAACATGAAAGCCCAAATTCTAGTAAATAGTTTTATATTAGAAACATTATCCAAGTTTAGAAGCCAAAAAAATATTTCAAGCACATTTCAATGTGCAGATTTTCTTGAGTAGGAAGAAAAGGAAGGGAGAAAGAGAAGATGAGAAGGAGAAAGAAAGAAAACGGAAGGAGAGGGAAGGTAACAGAGGAGAGGGAAGGGAAGAAAACAAATGTAAAATGAAAGAACAAAATAGAGGTTGAGAAAGGTAAATACCAAACACTAAATAAGAACAAAGAGATGAACTCACAGAATAAGGGTGATTTATAAATCCCATTATTTTCCCCAATATAGAATCACAATCCTTTTGATGTCAAAACTGAAGAAATGAAGCTAAGCTTCCCTGTTAAATACATAAAGCACATTTCCCTAGAGCTATCAACACCAGGGTAACCTTAGAATTTACACCTTTTCTTTAATCAGTGGAGAATTATCCTAACAGTATTATGTTTGATCACTGTACATTTTGGCCACATGTTCTTAAACGGATGGTTTCTCCACCTGGATTTATATCCTCCCTTCCCTCCTAATGTCAGAGAACTGATTCCATGAATACTCTTCTGGGTGAGAATGGGATTAAAACAAAACAGAAATGCAAGTAGACATCTTCAGTCTGGAGAGTAGAAAGAAGTCATCTTTTAATCTGAAAAATATATTATAAAAGTTATATTAATTTTTTCTTAAGCCATATAAGTTATGTTATTTTTTAGGTCAATTTGTCCCAGTTGCCTCCACATTTTACAAGTCAGTGTTCTTGCAACTTGCAAACACCTGCCTTGTGTGAAGCACCACCGAGGACATACGTATTAAGTACAGGGAGTTCATCCTGGGAAAGAGCACAGGATTTTAAGGAGCCTTTATGCTTCTTGTTCTGAGGCCTACCCCTGTCACACCCACCAGGAGTGCTTTTTAAAGTCTGGCTTTCACCCATCCAGGAGTTCTGATCCATGAGATTGGTCATCCTGGAAGTCTGTAATCCTTCATTTAAGTCCAGATGATCCAGCTACATGAGTACTGATTATAAAGGGAATCAGAGTTAGTAATGGCTGCAGTGAATCTCATTAAATCTTGAAAATCATGGCTATTCTATATCACCTTTAAAGATTATAAAACTGTTTCTGAGAAAAACAAAAACACCATGTATTGCCCAAAGGCATTTAGCTAGGTTGTAATAGTCCAAGATTCAAATGCAGGCATGTTTTATACAAACCCCTAACTACAAAATACAGAGGAATAAGCTAGAGTAAAAACCACTGGTCACAGGATCACAAATAGAACTTCATTCTGCTGAGAGGTGCCTGCTGGTGAGAGATGATCCAGGTGTTCAAGGACACAGAGGAGTAAAATTAAAGCTCAGGCAGCTGCAGCCTGACCATGCACATTGTAGGGGGCAGTTCAGACATGCGCCTGGAAACAGAGGGTGTGTTAGATCATGTCAGTTTTGAAGACTATAGTAAAGTGCTGGGGGCTAAGTTTCATAGCTGAATTGTACACTAAGTTTTGGGAATGTAGAAAGGGTGATCTGATTTGTTATTCTGGAAGCATTGTGAACAATGAATTTCAAATGAGAAGAAAACTGATTCAGAAAAACTAGTAAAAGGTCCTTCTAATAATCCAGACTTCAGCCAGGTGGGATGGCGCACATGTCTATAATGCCAGCATTTGAAAGGCTGAGGTGGGAGAATCTCATGAGCCCAGCAGTTCAAGGCCAGCCTGAGCAACATAACAAGATTCCATCTCAAATAATAATAATAATCCAGTCTTCAGAAGACATGTCTCTAAATTTAGGAGTAGAGAAAATGAATGGTAAAAATTCTAGAAAACTAACATTATTTATTATAAAAACAAAATTATTGATTCTCTGATGGGTATTACCTAAGCTTATATATTCTCTTTTATATTAAACTAAAAGTACAATTCAGAAAGGAATGGAAATTTTAAAATTATATTTACAATAGATTTGGAAAAAAACACCAGGTAATATATTCCAGTAACATTTACATGTAAGTTAATGCCTGGTTTACACTTATTGTGGTAGGAATTCTGAAGAAAGAGAATCCATGAAAATGTTTAGGATTATTTACACTTAAGTCTGTTCAGAGTAAGTTGGCCCACACCCAACCCTCTAATTTAATTTCAAGGTCAAGGATTCCAAAATCTCACTTATTTATTTGTTCTACACCTGTAATTTCTGAAATACACAATATTTGCTATGGGATGTCCAAATGTTAATAAGACCTAAGCCAATATCTGCCCTTATGTAGGTCATAATCAAAAGTGATACAAGTAAATTCACATCCAAAAAATTGAAGTGAACAAGAATATCAGTGGTTCCCCAGGACAAAGTCTGTAGGAAATTCTTATCTGTGGCCTAAGATATTCATCTGGCCACTTGCGAAAGAGGAGAATTCTTGGTGTCAGCATCATTACCCACTTTCTTCTCCTTTAGTGAGGTGTGTTCCAAGGGAATAAGAACTAGATCTGGTTGTTTTCTCCTTACCCTAACTCAGCACCCTTCTTGCAGTTGATTTTCACACTGATGATGCGAGCCAGGACTCTGCACCATCATCAGGTCCATCTTTCACAGTGGTGCCCTCCAAGTATCCAGGTCTGAACACTTTCACCGTGCACGTGTTGGTTCTTCTGACTTTGTACATGGCTTGTCTTTGCTTTCCAGGCCTTCTACAATTACCGGGTCCTAGAGTTACTGCAGATGCTGGTGACAGGAGGGATAAGTGCTCAGCTGGAACAGCATTTGGATAAAGAGAAGTTCTGTGTGAGTTCTGACAGCTGCTCTACATTCCTGTCTGGAAGAACGCGGTGTAAGCTGGGGCTGCTCTCCTTAAACCAAACCATTTTATCAGACATTAAAGTGAGTCTATCCTTATCATAATAGCTTTTTTCTGAAAACAGTCCAGACTGTTTGGGTTCATAGATGACCTACTGTACGGAAATAATAACAATGGTAATGACAGTGAAATTACTGCAATCTTGTATTCATACATTATTTTAGAATTCATAGTAAATTTTCACAGTGTATGTTTATTTTTGCAACACTCTCGAGTGACAAAACAATTTTTCTTATATCTACCTTTCATCTGAATAACCCAGATCTGTAAGATGAGTGACCTGTTGTTTTGAGTTGGATGTTTCTCCCCAAAATCCATGTCTTAGAAATTTAACCTCTAATGCAACAGTATTAAGGGGCAAGGCAATTAGGAAGCATTAATGGATAACAGGCATTATCAGAGGAATGGATTGGTTACAGTGAGAGTGGGTTTCTGATAAAAGAATGAATTCATCTCCCTTCCTTTTGTTTCAAAAGTGGACTGTCTTGCCTTTCCACCTTATGCCTCAAAATGACACAGCAAGAAAGCCATTGCTAGATGCAAGTCCCTTGACCTTGGACTTTCCATTCTCTCAAATTGTAAGAAATATATCTTGGTTCTTCACAGATTACAGAATTTCAGGTATCCTGCTGTAGCAGCATAAAATGAACCAAGACACCTGATAACTTTGTATTTTGACAAGGGTACTAGTATTAATTATAGTAGCCAATCCTTACTGAATATTTCCTCTGTGCCTGCCTGCTTTAGTTTTCACTTAATCTCTCTAAAAGTTTTTCTAGCAGTCATTATTATTTATCCCATTTAACAGATCAAGAATCTGAGACCATAGGAGCAAGGGCTGAGCTTAGGCACCACACTGGCTACCAGTGTCAGGGCAGGTATCTGTTGGAGTCACTCTGACTCAGGGCCTGCCTGCTCTTCCTATGCCTGAAGTGCTGAAGACACCTGATCAGATTAGCTGAGTCAGGCAGAAGAGCTCTGTAATTTGATCAGAGAATCTCACTGTGCTGAACAGTAGGATGTTTCTGAGTTTTCTTAGCCCCAAGAGTTGATGAACAGTAAATTATAACAAAAGGGAAAATAAAAACTCTGGCATAACCTAGTGGGGCCTCTGGGCATTTGTGAATCAGAGTAGAGGCTAGCCGGGACATGAGTAATCTGCCCATCAGCGGGATACCTTTTAGTTCAGGGGCAGACTTGACAAGGAAACTGGTCAAAGGACATCAATAAAACCCCCTTCGCAAAGAGCATGCTCTTCTAGGCAGCTGTGCCTGTGAGTCTTGACATTTGCTCCCAAAGAGGGCAGGTCTTGGGTTCTGGGCATTTGATTAGAAGTGCAAACAACATGCCAAAGGCTCTGCAGTACGGTCTGGTCCTTTGGGTTTCTGTGCTCTTGGGTTCTTCACCCACAGTTGGTGTGTGAGTGATTAGAAGCCCAGAAAACTGTTTCTGGGGGCCACCTGTTGGTATCAGAGGGAACAACGGATGGAACTTCACTGTCCTTTCCTCCCTCCATGAGTGTCTTGCCCTCACTTTTCTCTGTCCCTCAGAAGTCACAGAGCTGAAAAGACTTTTCTTGTTTGACCTTTCTTAACCTATGTGACCTCTCTGCTTCTGCCTTCCAACCCACTGTGATGTTGTTGGCCATAGCCTATGAGCAAGGTCAAGGAGATTTCTTGTGATTGTGATGTGCATTGTAGTGAAATAAAATGATAAGAAGGAAGAAGTCATTTAACATCCCATTTCATTATGTACTTCAAAAACTGAATTTTCCAACCAATTGCTCATTGTTTCTTCTTAATGGTTACCAAAACACCAGTAGTAATAAGAAAAAGCATATGCCACCACACCACAACTACCATAGGCTCCTGAAAGAACCAGAATGATTAAAGCAAGCACTGAGAATAGAGTTTCCAGACCAATCATAAACTACCATAATTACCTCGCCACTTGACCTTGCCAGCAGACTTATACTAGGAAATGGCTTTTAGGTCTTCCACACTTCCGCAAAGAATGGAAAATGAGACTCAAGTGAGTGTTCATTATTGCTTAATTAAAATGCCCAGCAGACATACTTTTTTCTTTTCTCTCCCCAGCCAAGAAACACCTTTGGACAACTATTCTGTGGCTCATTAGATATTTTTGGAATCCTGTGCGTTGGCCTGTACCGCATGATTGATGATGAGGAGCACAACCCAGAACACAAAAGGGGAGTATTTTAGTCTGCAAGGTGTTAGCAACCTACCCCAGAATAAGAGCCAGAGCTGCTTTACTCAATGTGAAAGTGAAGTCCAGTGCTCAGGGTCTTCAGCAGCATGGAAGGATACAGAGGAAATAGTTAACGATGTGTAAGAATAGGAAAGAATAGTTATAAACAACAGGAAGCTGATCAGTTAGGGTTCAGTTAATATTGGTCTTAAAAGGAGAGTGAAGATTTTTGCCCACAATGAAAACTGGACCAGGTTTAAATAAGAGTAAGAGTCACTGCCCACATTAGAAAGTTTTACGTGTGTTGTTGTTGAGTAGATATTTACTGCCTCTTTCTAGCCACTGTAGTTTTTACTCAGAAATCATGAAACCGCTTTGTTCAGATTTCTGTTTTATCACTTCTCAGCCCTTTGGCTAAGATCAAGTGCAGATTTCTGTTTTATTAAAGGAAGATCATCCCTCTGGAAGTGTGGAAGATAGAGGAAATATGTGTGGAGTCAACACAATTATGTAGTTCCAAGCCAAGATCCTTACTGTGAGAATGGACAGCAATCAGTACAGGAGGAGAAAATTTAAATAATAAAAAGATTGATGAAATCCATTCCAGGAGAAAGAAGCAAAATTGCTTAATGCGGAGTGGTCTTAAATAGAAGGGAAGAAAAGAAAAGCAACTTATCTGCTCAAGTAGAAAAGGCGGAAAGGACAGATGCTGAGGCAGATACAGCTCTGGGTGAGAGGTGCCCTCGTGGGGGTTTTTATTTAGCACCAAGATTTCTCAGTGCACAGCTTTTGCTGAGAAAGATGGGAAAAGTAGTATAAGAAGATGAGAACAGGTAAAAACTAAGATGACCTGCTGAGAGGAGTGGAAAGGAGGCTTACTGTGGATTTGTAAAGCAACACTAGGCTGTAAAGTGAAAGAACAAAGGATTGGAGATCTGGATCCAGTTAAGGAGGAGGGAGATGAGATATACTGAGTAAGGGAGTGAGAGAGAAGGAATGATGGGAAGCTGGGGGTAGAGAATGGTTTGTTGAAGGTTAAGATTTTTGAGGCAGGAAAGTATCAGGAAATTATAATAATGGGGATGTGCGAGCAAAGTGGTTTGGAAATGAAGACCACTGGCTAGTGGAAGTGATAGAAATGTGTCTGGATGTTGGAGTTGTAAACCACACAGACACTGTGGGAATGGTGATGGGGGTACTAGAATTTGAAAGAAAGTGTATCCCAGGTGCCAAGGACCTGAACAAACATGGAGGTCTACAGACTGCACTACTGAATCAATAAGGAGGGTTATATAGCTTTGTGGAATTCACCACAGAGACTGAAGAGGTGGAGTGATGCTTTGCATATTCTCTCTCTCTCTCTCCCTCTCCCTCTCTCTCTTTCTCCCTCTCTCCTTCTCCTTCACTGAATTTCACCTCTGTCACCAACACCTCTAGAAAACTTTTATAACACAGGAATTGGAAAATGTGCAGCTTATAGTTATGAAGGTCACAAAGAAAGAAATGTTACTTCTGTTTTAAAAAGAATACATGATTATGGTAGATCTTGTTCAGATAGAATTGGGGTTCCAGAGGACTCAGTGGAAAGATACTAACAGGCAGATTATTTGGAAAAGGAAGGTCAATCATGCATTGGGATCCTTGTTTAGGAGAGGTCAAGTGACTATTAAAACACAGGATGAGTAATGAAAGATTATCTGCCTCTGTGCCCTGACAGGAACACTGATTATTGATTAGCTAAACTCTCATTTGTTGAGGATTTGCTGTGTTCCTGACATCATTTTCAAGCTCCTTACTTCCCTACAAAGTCTTTCCATGCAGGTCCAAGCTCTGACTGTTCTTTAAGATTCATTGACATTGAGTATTTGCTTACCAGAGTTTCAAATAGAATTTTGATTTTTTTATAAATGCTTTTCTTCATCAGCCAGGTTACACTCTTTGTGAAAGTTTGTAGTGTGAGCATTAGGTTACGGTAGGCCTAAAACAAACTGCAAATGTTTAGAATGTATGTCATTTTCTGGTTTAATAATACTAGGGGTTAAGTGTTCAGTATTGTGCCAATTGTAATCATTAGTGTAATGCATATTACAAGCAGATAAACCAGTAGTCAGAAAGGCCAGCAAAAATCAACCCATCCAAACCACAGTCTTATCCTGCTCCCATTAAAACCATGAGAATAGTGAGGCCCAGAAAAGTGAGACATCATGCCCAAGATAGAAATGACTGATATCAGAGGCAGAGATGAAAGCCAACCCCCTAATTCCTAGTCTAAGTCTCCTCCTATTGCAGAGCTCCAGAGATCTTTATAATTAATCATAAACCAAGGAAGCAAACCAAAACAGAAGCATTTCCTTTTTCAGCCCAGAACAATGATGTTTGGTTTTTGGCCATTGACTGGAGTCATAGGGTCCCATCTGCATCTTTGGCTTTTCTTACAGGTTTGTGATTACCCGGCCAGCCAATGAGTTTAAGCTGCTGCCCTCAGATCTTGTATTTTGCGCTATCCCTTACAACACTGCCTGTTACAAAAAGCATGATGTTTCTGCATCCCAAACTCAGTGTGAAAGTATGAATTTAGTATCACTGACACCAGAGATGCATCCGGATACAAACTGTCCTCCCACAAGGGACCCTGTGCAAGACAGCACATTATACACGGTGTTTCCCGGTCCATCTCTGAAGCCAAGAACTTTCTGAGTTTCTATATTTCAGGAAGCAGTGCTGAATCAGAGTGGTAAGCTACTACTCCAGAAGCTTCTAGATGAAAAAAGTAAAAGAAAATAGAAAGGAAAACATGAAGGAACTTCTAAGGGAGGATGCTCTTCATACTCCATGCTAAACTAGACCTGTCAATATTTTCCACGAGCACTCAACATGCAACTTACAAAGCATCTCTAGAGATAAAGACTTTGAACCAGACAATTAATATGGAAGCATGCATTTTTGTGCCCATTTCTCAGTGGTTGATCAGCAAGCTCACACTGTTTTGGAAGAGACCTTTGTCCTACTGGATCTGGTGTGATAAATATATGATAAATGCCATTAAAGAAAAGTTCATTGCTTTGTTTTCCTTGAGCAGAAAATGGGGTAGTATGAGCTGCATTAAAGAAGTCCTCCAGATGGAGAGATGCTGTTGGAGTTGGAAACCAATTTGTTTATAATTAAGACCTAGGTATATGTCTGGCACATAGTGAGTGCTTAATAAGAAAGAACATTAGAGTAGCTTGGGATAGGATGCTTGGGTGAAGTCAAGCAGATTGAAACAGATAATATTTTAAATTCCCTAACTTGGGAATAGAGACATCATTGCATGAATGGTTTAAAATACTCGCCCATATTACATGTTCCAATCTACTGCTCTATAAATTTCATTTTCAGTTAGGTCATTTTACCTAGATATTACACTGTTAACATAATAAGCAAAAGTTCAGCACAACTAGGAAATATTCACTCCAAATTGATGTGAATCTTATAATGATGAGATTAGTAAGCAAAGCCTTCTTACATTATACATACAATAGAGGTAGGAAAGAAGGAGAAAGAAAATCATATAACATTTCTCAAAAATTGTTTTATATAATGTTTAAAATATACCTTATGTTATTATCATCTTTAATAATTTTGTATTATTATCTGTTTCACAAAGGAAGAAACCATGTCACACATGTCACTAAATAAAACATCCACTTAAATTTGAATTTCAAATAAGCAAAGATATTTTTAGAATAAGCATGTCCAAGTCATTGAACTTATCTAGTAAGTGATCAAATCAATATTCAAACTTGGTTTGATTCTAGCAATTACATACATTATGCCTTCAATCATAAAAATGAAACAAACTAAAATAAAACATTAGTTCATAGGAAATAAATATTTTAATTAGTTAGACTTTAATTATAATGAAGTGAACTCAGTCTATGTGGAAAAGAGAATAATTATAAGAAGAAGAGTTTCCTGGAACCAAGGAAATCTTTAAAAAAATTTTTTTGACTTTTACTTGTCACTTTCATCCTGCTCCCCTTACATAGACTTTCTTTTTCCATATTCAAAGCAATGTATAGCTTTCTGAAATTTCAGATTTACAGATAGACTTATACACATATCAAAAACTTAAGGGAATGTCTTTTAATACACAAATAACAATACAAATAATGCACAAATAATCTAATCTCCATTACAGTAGAACAGTTTGACTGAGAAATGCTTTATTTTCCAGTGTTTTATAGGAACAGGTGCCAGAAATACAGCTAATTAGGAATCTGAAGTCCTAATTTCTAAAACTCTGTGATGGATTCAGCTTTAGCCATTCCATTCCAAACACTGACAGCTGAGGAGCTGGGTCCTTCTGAATGGAGGACTGTCTTGGGGAAGGTAGGATAGTCCTAGGGAGACATGGCATTTGTCTAGTAAAAAGATAGTAGCATCCCCTTTTCCCATTTATACCTTGGTGGTTTTATACACATACAAGGCTTAGTAAAGACAAAATACTCTTGAGAAAGAAATTATACATTAGCACTATGGATTTCAAAATCTACAAACCACTGCTCTCCATATTTTGACAAATATGTTTAACCTTTTAACTTCAGGTCTTCTTCAAAAAACTTAACAAATAATCGAATTTGCAATAGAGTAGAGCAGTTTGAGTGAGAAATACTTTATTTTCCAGGGTTTTATGGGAATGGGTTCCAGAAATATGGCTAATGAAATGTTAAGTGATACTCAATATGTGATCATTCATATTGCCAGTCTCAATAAATAAAAGTCTCCCTAAATTCATTTCCAAGTGATTCCATAATTCTAGATTCAAGCCCTTCACTTATAAATGCCAACATTTTATCAAAAGTCACATCAGATCTTTTGGTAATATGATGGAAATTTATTTAATAGTAGTTTATTATTTATTAATAGTAGAACCAATATGAAAGGAACTTAGCTGTTCACAAACAATACATGGGTTGATAATTTACAATTTTTTGAGGCTATAGCATTTTCAAAAAAAATGTATATATGCATATATTCAACAAAATTCATCACAAGTTAGCCAATGTTC